GCCCGCTTGGGAGGCTGCTGGTGCCCAAATAAAGCCTCCCCTCCTACCCCGGGGCCACCCGCTGCCTCTCACCAGGAGCCCATGCCAGCAGCCCAGTGTGGAGTGGACAGTCACCCTCCTCTGCTGGCCGAGCACGGCCACTGCAAGGCCCAGGCCACCTGTTCGGCCCCAGGACACCCAGGACCAGAGCCAGGCACCACCAGTGTCTCCCGCGAGCCCACACGTGGACAGGGCGGACAGAGACCTCAGTGAAGTCTTCTCGTGGGCAGAGAGTGCGGTGGTCGCAGCCCACAGTGCACACCCCCAGCTCTGTGCATGGGGCCGGCTTGTCATGGGGGGTCCCCACTGGGTGTCCTGCAAGGGTGGTTTGCAAGCCCAGGAAAGCGGTCTCCATGGCTCAGGGTCCAGTGGTGCGGCCCAGCTTAAGAAGGAACCGGGGAAAGAATGGGCATGGTGGCACTCCACAGGAGGGCAAGACAGCAGGACACATGACCCCGAGGGCTCTGGAGCCAGGCGGGTCGAGGCCAGCTCTGTCCAGCTGCCTGCGGTCAGTGTCCCCTGTTATGTGAATACTCTCCTCCCTGCTGCCCGCATCCTTGGCTTCGTCACACGTAGGGATCGGAGACCTGGGGGCCTCCAGGAGACCAGCGGGCAATGGGCACTCACTCCATCCAGGTGCTGCCCCCTCCGTACCCCCGGCAGTTCCTTCCGTGCTCCCCCGCCCCTGCCCCCAGGAGCCGGCCCATGGGCCTGTTGGAAGCCAGGGAGCAGGACCACACTACGGGCCTCCATGACCCTCAGCCAAGGGGCAGTGGTGCCGGGCATGCAGGCGCCTCTGAGGCTGAGCTGGGGTGCCCACCACGTGCATGATGCCCCTGAGGAAGGAACAAGGGACTCTGGGGGCCCCCTTCCAACAGGATGCCTCATCCAATCCAGGGAGAGAGAAGCTTGGGGCCCGAGGGGCCCAGGCAGGGAGCCCAGGCCAGCAGCAAGAGCTGCTATGGGCAGCCTCCCTAGCCACCAGAAGCTGGGACCCAGTGCCCCTGCCCAGCCAGCCCTCTTCTCTTTCAGCCCTGGCAGGGGGTGGGGTGGTAGGAGGGTGTCCTCCAGACAGGGCTGCACCTGCAGACGGGGAGGCCGGGACCTGGCACGTTGTAGGAAGTGGGACATCCTGCCCTGGCAAAGTGACCCCTTCCCGGCCACCGGCGAGGGATGGGGTGGGCACAGGGAGGGTGCTTGAGGGTCCACACTGAGGCCTGGCCGAAGGAGCGTCCTCCCCATGTCCCTGGGGCCACCTGTCCCTTCCTTCGAGAATGTGTCTGTGCCTGCAGGGGTAGAGGTAAAAATAGAAGCTGACGCCCAGGCCAAGGGCGGGCTACCTCCTTCCCGCATCTCCTCCCTCCTCGCCGCCTCCTCTGCCGGCCATTCCTATACTTGGTAAGGGGTTTGTGTGGCCACAGCCCCTTCCCCCGCTGGCCACGTGCCTCGGTCCCCTGCTGCCGGCCAATGAGCTTCGGGCAAAGATCAGCTGTCCCTATAACCCTCTGGCCGAGGCTGAGTGGGCATCGCTGCAGCTGGCCTTCGGGAAGCCCGGTCCTCTCCAGACTCGCCGCTGAGGTTGGTGCCCCGGGCAGCCAGCGGCCAGGCCAGGGGCCCCCAGAGCTGGGCTGGGGGGCAGGACTGATTGATGTAGGGCACAAGGTGGAACCCCCTCTCATGTCGGAGGGCAGCGGGGCTCATGCAGGGAGGCTGAGAGGCACAGATGAGGGAAACGTGATCAGAGCGGGACTCAGTGGGAGGCCGGAGCCAGGAAGGTGGAGGTCCACCCAGGAGATCCAAGCCCACCCTGGACCAGCATGAGGGCCTGGGGGGACAGCTCTGGGCAGACGAGTCCAGCCCCGGGCGGATGAGGCCAGCCCCACATCTCCTCTGGCTCCTCTCATGTCACCATCAAATGGAAACCAGGGAGGAGGGCGAGGCTGCGAGCACTCAGGAGAGCACCCATGGGCAGGGGAGAGGGTACCTGTGGGCCCTGGCTGCCAGCACCGTAGGGGCATCTCCCAGGAGCCAAGGGGCTGGGGGTGGGGGGGGAGCAGGGGCCACACTGGAAGGTGTGAGGGTCTGGGCTGCCTTGTCTGCCCAGAAAGATTGAGGCCCCATCCTTGCCTGGGGCGTGTCAGTGGGCCCCCCCAACACCCCTCCCACCCTGCTCATGCCCCCATCTGCTCAGCGCTCAGCACCCGCCCCAGAGTGCCCAGGGCCAGCCCCTCTGGCCCTTTCTAAGACTCCCGGCTGGTTGAGACAGGAGAACCCAGGAGTGTGGGATGGGGAGGGAGGGGAGGCAGGGTCCCATGGCTAATGAGTGTCAGCATCTCTGGTCTCCCCCTCCTCCATCCTCCACTAGCAACCAGGAAGAAGGGGTTCAGGGTGTGTCCCCAGGGAAGGCTGACCACAGGGGCTATTCTCAGATCTGCCCCTTGGCGGGCAGAGTGGAGCACTGACCACCGGCTGCACGCTCAGCTGTCCACACCCTGCCCCAGCCCCCCCCCCCCATACACCGCTCTCCTTCCCCAAGGACCAGGGGCCATGGAGACCCCAGAGTGAGGGAAGGGGACGCCAAGACAGCTCAGTCTGACAACAGAGGCAGCGACAGCACCGACCATCCCCAGGGGTGCCCAGGATGCCCTATGGGAGGGCGTGTGGGATCTTCACTGGGGGACCTCTTAGACTACTTCCAGCTCAGAAAGACAGGTGGCTGGGTGGGGGTGGGGCGGGGGGGTCAGAGTGCTGAGGGGCAGTGTCTCAAACAGCTCCACCATCTTGAGTTTCTGAGCCGAGGCGTCTTGGCTGACTAAGGTACCTATTCTTGACACTCCAGCTGCTCCCAGCTCCTTAAAAATAACCCATCCCTGGGCCCAGGCCAGGACCCCCACCCTCGTGGGGCGGAGGCCAGTGCCCGCACCCAGACAGGCCAGGGTGGGCTCAGCGGAGCCAGGTCATCGGACTTCCCACTGCCCCTCCGACCCAACCCAGGGAACCGGGAGGCGACAGGACTGGGGCAGGGACACGGCAGAGCCCGAGAGGCAGGTGGCTCTGGATGGCAGGGGGTGCCCCACGCGGGGCACAGTGCACAGGCTGGGCCGAGGGGCTGAGCAGAGCTCCAACTGAGAGGAAAAGCCGGGTTCTGGCTAAAGGGGGCAGCAGAGTTCTGGGGAGAGGTGGTGGCCGCCAGGCAGCCTTCAGCAGGCAGCTGCTGGTTAATTCTGCGTGGCCTTTATGTTGCTTTGGGGAAAAAAAAGAAAGAAAAGGAACATTCTTGCAAGTGGGCTTGGAGAGCGGTTCCCACCTAAGAAATATGATGTCGATGCGTTTTTTGACGATGAACTCCTGTTTTCTGGAGCGGAGCTCCCTGGGGCCCCAGGGGTGCCTTCAGGCAGGCAATCATCGGCTGTCAGGGGCTCAGGCCTGGAGATAGAGAGCCAGCGTTTCCAGGCAGCTGCGAGGCCCCCTGGCCCTGGCTGCCGCGCTGGCCATGGCCAGCCCACGGGCGGACAGTCCCTGAGCGCTAAGCTGCACCTGGCCACGTCCGGCCCTGCGCTTCCAGCAGACATTGACAAAATCAGGAGCATCCCAGGGCCTGGAAAAGTGGCCTTGGAGTGAGATGGTGGTGGGGGTGGGGGGTGGGAGGGCCGCAGAGTACAGGCCTGCAGCTCACGGGGCCTCTGGCAGGAACCAGGCTTTAGAAAAGCTAGCCCCCTTCCCCATGCCCCGTGCCCCTACCTGTGGGCAGCTGTCTGTCAGCCCCTGTTGTCTGTGATTCTGCGTGGGGGTCACAGAAAGCTGGGGGGAGGTGGGGAGGGACACAAGCAGGAGGACCCCCCCCTTAATCAGAGGGGGCTATCTGATGCAGAAGGGGGCTTCAGACACCCACAAGGAGGAGCGGTCCTCTAGGGGGGCTTGGGGCAGAACGCTAGAGAAGATGCTGCGGGAACCAGGGATCTTGGGGGTTTCTGGAGACCCCACCCACCCTGCCTAGGCCACTAGAACAGACCACCCAGAGGCAGGGGACATGCCACATCAGCAGGGCTGGCGCAGGCGGTCCCTGGCCCAGCACAAGCCCATGCATTCTGGATGACCCGCGGCAGACAGTGCTGGGAACGGGTGTCAGCCTGGTGGGTGGGGGTGGGCGGCCACCCAGTCCATCCCCTCCTGGGGCTAGCGCCGGGGGTGGGGGAATCTGCGGCCTGCAAAGAAGCAAGGGGCCTGATGAGAGGCCCGAGACAGGAGGTGGGCACGTGGACACCCCCCCATACACACACACACAAACCAAGAGTGGGTCCTAGACCCCTGCCTGTGGATGTCGCCTCAGCCCCCCAGCTCCGAGAGCCTCCACCCCTGCTCCTGCACCTCCTAACCAAGGCAACTCCTAACTCTCTCTCCCGCTCTCTCTCTCTCTTGCTCTCTCCTCCCTTCTCCAGAAACAACCCACCGCAGCCATGTCTGACGAGGAAACGTGAGTGGTGCCCCAGTTGCCAGCCCCTCAGCCCAGCCTTGGGACCCTCAGACTCAAGACACACTTTCTGGCTTGGGGGAGTGGGGGCAGCAGGGAGAGCATGACTGGTGTTTTCTGTGAACCAGTGTGGACCAACACTTCTCTCTCTCTCTCTCTCTCTCTCTCTTTCTCGCTTGCCTACAGTGAACAGGTTGAGGGTAAGTATCAAAGCTGCTGTCCCCTCCCCGTCCGCCCACCCCCTCACCCCCGTCCCTGATCCACGGCACAGAAGACTACCCTCGGGGAGGCTTTGCTTTTGGTTGTGGACAACACGCAGCTTTCTTTGTGGGGGGTGCTGTTCGTCTGCGCCCCCCAGACCTGCCATGTTCAGTGGGTGGGCTTCAAGTGACCCCTCCCCATGATGACAGGCTTCCTGTTCGGCCACTAGCCCTGGGAGCCGGCTTTTCTGTGCCCCCAGCGGTGTGGCTGACGAGAGCCTGTGGGGCCACTCTGCTGTGCTTCCTGGGAGGACAGTGTCCTCGGTGGCGCCGGCCCACCTCCTGAACCTCGTCCTGCTGTCAGGGCAGCCTCCTCAGGGGCCCGTCTCTGCTCCTTCGCCTCCTCCGTCCCCCAGACCGGCCCTGGGCCTTTGCTAATGGCCACTCTCTTTTGTCTCTATCCCAATGCAGAGCAGTATGAAGAGGAAGGTAATTCTGCAGCCTCTGGAAGTCCCACCAGTGCCCCTGCCTCCCTCCTCTCAGCCCCTCAGCCCCCGCAGTGGGCACCCACCCTGTGCTGCCCTGAGCTCCCCAGTAGCAGCCAGTCGTCCTCCCCCATGATCCTGTGCCTCCAATCCCAACTCTCTCCCTTTCTAAACCGGAATGCACCAAGGTGTTCACCCATGGTCACTAACACCTCCTCCTCATCGCCCGTGGCGGCTAATACTTCGTCCTCATCCCCTATGCCATTGGTGATGTGGTCACTAACACTTTGTCCTCATCACCCGTGGTCATTACTATTTCATTCTTATCACCCATGGCTACTCGATCTCCTCTTCACCTTCCGGGCCACTAATACTTCACCCTCACCATCCATGGTCAATAATACCTCCTCCTCATCGTCCGTGGTCACTAATCCCACCTCTTCATCCCCAGTGACCATTCATACGTCACCTTCATGACCCTTGGTCACTAATATCTCATCCTCATTGTCCGTGGCCCCTAGCAACTCATCCTCATCATCCGTGGTCAATAATACTTTATCCTCGTCATCCGTGGTCAATAATACTTTATCCTCACCATCCATGGTCACTAACGCCTTCTCCTCGCCATCACTGACTATTAATACTCCCATCGTCCGTGACCATGAACTCTTCATCCCCATCATCCATGGTCACGACTACCTCATCCCCATCATCCATGCTGACTAACACCTCATCCCCATAGCCCGAGGTCATGCATGCCTGATCTTCATCCTTCATGACCACGAATTCCTCAACCCCATCGATTGTGGTCACTAATCCCATACACTCATCGCCCGGGGTCACTAATCCCTCACCTTCACCCATGACCACTAAGACCTCATGCCCCTCCTGCTGTGGTGTTTGGAGTTACCTGGCATTTGGCCATTACTAGTCTGAAGCAAATTAATATCAGGTGCCTTGTTGTGCACGCCACTGACCTCTCTCAACCAATCGCTCCGTCCCTCAGTCCCCATTCCCCTCTCAGTGCCTCTTTCTGTCTCTTGAGCTCTATATATCTCGTATGATGTTTCGGGGTCTCTGTCGCTCTTGCTGTGTGTCCCCCATCAGTATCTGTCTCTCTGTCTCCATAGCTCTCTCCTTTAGCTGCCTCATAACTGTGGTCTTAGTGTCTCTCATGAGCTAAGTCTCCTCCCTCAGTAGCTGTCTCTCCCCCTCAGTGTCGCTCTCTGGGTTTCTCTCCATGTCAGTCTCTTTTTACTCTGTCTCTCCCCCTTCAGTCTGTCTCTCCCTCCCATCTCTCTCTCTCTGTCTTTCTCAGCATCTCCCTTCTTCAGTGTCTCTCCACGTCTGCCCCTCGAGCACACGGCCTTCAGGTGTGGCGGGGCCACAGGTGGCATGTACGGGCAGCCGCAGGCATGCCCAGGCCAGTGTGGGGCTGGAACCAGTGCCGCTCCAGCCTCATGGTTCTCAGCTTCTGTGCTGGGGAGTGCAGGCACCCTGCCGGGCACCAGGCAAGCTGAGGGCTTCACCCTCTGTGCCGGGCAGGGCCTCCTGTGAGGAGTCCTGGAGCTATGTTTTGAAAATATTTTGAAAACACTTAGCTACCGTAACCACATGAACAAAAAAACGTGCCTTGTTTCCGCCAGAAAAGTGGATGTGTCCTTTCTGGGTGGGAAATGTGGTCTTGGGGAGGCCAAGCCTTCCCTCGGGCAGAAACCACCATGGGGAGGGGGCTGGTGAGCATGGAAGGACCTCCTGTGCTAAGGTGCCCTAAGGACCCTCAGGGTCCCCACTGCCTTGGACCAGGGCAGCCACCTCCTGGTGGACCTCCTTCCCGGGAAAGAATGTGGCCGGGCGGTAGAGTAGCCTGGCTCCCTGGTGGCTCCATTGTTGCCCTCTCAGATGGATGGGCTGGACTTCTTTGAGTGATACAGGTGCCAGAAGATCACTCCCCAGAGAGCCACAGGGTAACACCCCGCCCCGCCCCCCCCACGCCAGGGTTACCACTGTGGACACATTGCTACCAGTGGTGCCGCGCAGCCCGGTGTGTTACCTGTGGGACCCTGCGAAGACGTTTTCTTACTATCGGGGCCATAGTAGGAAAGCCAAGGGTCCCTGTTTGGTCCTGTCCTCTCAGGCCGGGACCACCAGAGGTGGGGGAGCCAAGAGGCCCTTCTGAGTCCCCACAGCTGCGTAATGAGGTCTTGGGAGCAGGGTGGGGGGCATTCAGCATGGTCGCAGGGTCCCTGGGGGTCCCCAGACCTCCCCACAGAGGCCCAGGCCATGTTCCCCCTTCTCACGGTGGCCACCCTCTGAGGCCGAGGCCCAGACACACAGGCTGGCCTTCCTGGGCCCACACTGACCCAAGCAGGTCTCCTCTCCTGGGATCAGCCCCAGGCGGACACTACTAACGACTTTCCTTGTCCCCTCTCCCCTCCGCCTGTTCCTGACACCCTAGAAGAGGCCCAGGAGGAAGGTGAGTGGGGATCTGGACCCAAGCGCCCGCCCAGACCTCTCAGCCCCTCGGCCCCAACTTTCCTCACAGTCTCCCCGGTGTGCCTGCTGCCCCCCCTCCTCCTCACCCCGCCCCCCGCTCACCTTGACCGGCAGCCCCTCGTCTCTAAGAACCTGTGTTATGCCCCCCACTTCCCTGACCTCTCCTCTTGCAGAAGTCCAAGAGAAAGGTATGAGGCAGGACTTCTGACCCCATGTGGGGCCCAGGGCCTGGCTGGCATCTGAGTGGGGTGGGGGGAAGGGATGAGGAGGCAGCAGGGTGCCCAGCTAGCCAAGGGGCCCCCCATGTGGCCCCAAAATAACCCACTAACCATCATCCCTGCTTGACTGGGAGGATGGAACCACCCAGACTCCCATCTCGCTGGCAGCCTGTTAAAACCCACCGGTGGGGCTGCCCCCAGACCGGAGGGGGCAGATTAGCCATGGGAGGGCCTCTTTGAGCTTGGGAATAGGGGACATTATGGCCGAGCCCCCTGGGAGACTAGCCTTCAAGCCAGGGGAGAGGGTGAGGTGGGAGGGGCACTGAGCCCAGGGACCAGCTTCACAAGGAACCTTCCTCTATGCTCGGGCTAGCCCAGCCCCCACGGGCAGTAAACCTGCTGGCCTCCTGCAGCATCCCTCCAGGGGCCCCAGAGTCCCCTCCATGGGGGCTGAGCCAGGGTGGGCAGCACGGCCCAGGGGAGAGGCCCCATCCCAGGAGCAGCACAGAGGGGGAGCCAAAGTGCACCCTCGAGCCTCAGTTTCCTGCTCAGGAAGGCGGGACCGGGTGGTCAGGGGACTCTGCGAACAGGCCACACGGTTGGGGCAACGGGGCAGGTGGCACTACCACTGACCCTCTCTCACTGGCCTTCCGCATGCGGCCCAACCCGCCTCTCCCGCTGACCCTCCGGGTGGCCAACGGGCTGTTCCTTTAACCTGGGATTCCTCCTCCTTTGACCTCTGACCTCTGACTTGCCTCTTGTTCCATGGCCCTCCTCCTCCCCCATGAAGTTCATGAGCCAGGTATGTGACATGACTTCATTGCGTGTGCCTTGTGTGCACACGTGTGGCCCCTGTGTGGTGTGTGCAGAGGAGGGACCAGAGGCCTCCACCCCCTGCGCTTGCTCCTGCCTGCTCGGCCTCCAGCTCTCCCACCCACCCCACCCTCCGTCACCCCCCACACAGTTTCACAGTCTCTCTTTCCCCCACCCTCTCTCCCCACGTGCCCCACACTGATGCCTGCTTCTGCAGAAGAAGTCCAAGAAGGTATGCCTGTCCAAGGCGGGCACTGTGAGGACCCTCCCACTGCCCCTCGCTCCTACTTGCCCTCCCCCACCACTAATGACAGCAATAGGGTCCCTGGGTGGGAGTGGGGGTCAGGCAGATGGGGACAGGACTGTCTGACCCTGGGCAGAGAGGGCGGAGGACCTGGGGCACACATCCCAGGCCACCACCAGTCCGGCGTGTGTGGCTAGCTTTAGCGAGAGCAGGGCTCTGGGTAGTGGTACTGGGGTCCTGGGACCCCCTTGGTCCACAAAGATGGGATGGGGAGAGCAGAGGAGGGGGGCAGGGCAGGCGGCCTCCACCCTGCCGCAGCTAAGCCAGCCAGCGGTGGGGAGAGGCTGTGGGGAGGGCTGAGGGGCCAGTGGGCTGAAGTCGAAAGAAGCCGGGGCGCAAGGTGGGGCTGGGGGCCGGGAGCTGCCGGGGGCATGCGTGCAAGCACACAACCATCAGGAGGGCCCCACCCTTTGCTGGGCAGGTGCCAGGCACGCCCGGGTGGAGGCAGCCCAGGGGGCCCCCGAGAAGGGGTGAAATGCCAGTCAGGGCTTGGGGCCCCAACAGGGGAGCTCTTCTTGGGCCCAGTTCACATACCAGACCATGGGGACACATGTCCCCAGAACACCGGGCCAGGGTGTCTACGGGCTGACCTCGGTCCACAGCACCCATCATCTGCTCGGCAGTATCCGGAGACCATGGTGGCCCCCAGAGGGCAAGGGAAGGGGCCAGCAGACAGGTGGGAGGGAAGGGGAGCCCGCAGAGCCAGAGCTCCTCACCAGGAGCCCCCCTGGTAAGCCCCGACCTGGCTGGGCTCTGCCGGGTCAATGTAGACAGACAGACAGCTTGGACCCTGCCCCCACGTGTTGGGAGAGCGACATTTGCCCCCAGTGAGGTGTCAGCTGGCGGTGGGTCCTGACACCCCACGGAGGCCTGTAAGCTGTGGCGAGACCACTGCTGGTGGGTCCAGGGTCTGACCAGGCTGGGCCCCGAGAAAGGGGTCTTCAGCTGCCCTGAGGAGGCCAGAGAGCTGCCCCTAGGTCATCCTGGCTCGTGGATAGGGAGGGCCAATCTTAGGGCAGAGCAGCCCCCTTCTGTGGGGTCCAACCAGGGCCGTGCCGGGGCAAGGGACAGTCAGGGTTCTCAGTAGGGCTCCTCGCAGCACCAGAAGCTAAGCCAAACCCTGCAGTGGGAGAGGGGCCAAGGGCCCAAACTAGGGCCCCTCCAGCCTAGCTGCTGCCCAGCCACTGAACTTCAACCCAGCTATACTGCTGGAGCAGTGGTTTACAAGGCAGGCTTACCACAAGGTCAGCAGTTCAAAACTACCAACCGCTCTGTAGGAGGAAGAGCAGGCTCTCGCCTCTCCTAAAGGCTGAGTCTCGGAAACCCACAGGGGTGCAGGTCTATGCTCTCCCACAGGGTCGCACTGGCTGTGAGAGGACCCTCACGCCTGTCCCCACACTGCTCACGTTCTCCAGGGGAGGGGTGATCTCACAGTGCAAGAAGGGCCCTGCCCTCAGGGACAGACGGCTGGACAGACGCCTAGGCCCCCACACAACGCCCTGCATGTAGGCCCTCCCTGGACCCTGCTGGGGGCACTAGTGGGCTGGGGGCCGAGGGGGGGTACCGCAGGGCGGGGGGGCGCCTCTGCACGGCCTTTCTCTTGCATATCTGCTTGGCCCTGAAGACGCTGAGGCGGAGCTGGGGGAGGACGAGGAAGGTAAGGGCTGCCGCCCCCACCCACCCCTGCTGCTTCGCTCACCCCCAGGCTCTGCTGGCTCTGTCTCCCACAGCCACCAAGGACATGGACAGGACCCTCCTTCGCTCCCCCACTGGCCTGTCCACCAGTCTACATGTCGCCTGCCCCCACCCCTTCCCCCAGCTGCTGCCAGGGGCCAGGGCAGGCCAGGTCCAGAGAAAGGAGAGGGGCTCCCTCCCCCCGGGTCTCGCCATCCCCCGTCTCCTCAGTGGCCCGAGTGCCCTCCCTGTCCCCTGCCGTCCCCCCACCAGGGAGACCCTTTGTTGGCCCTCGTGCCCCTGTCTCCATCTTCCCTCTCGCTGTTGGCCGAGGACTCTGTGACCCACATCTGCCCCCCTCTTCTCCGGCCTTCCAGCCCCGGCACCCGCACTGCTCTGTCCTCAGCCCCAAGCCTGCAGTGGGGACAAGGCCCGAGTGTTCCTGGTGGCCTGGGGCGGGGTTTATGGGCTCAGTCAGAGAGGCACCTGGGGTCCCATGGTCTCACCTGGTCTCTCTCTGTCCCCTCTCCACGCCAACCTTGCGGTGACCAGAGGAGAAGCCAAGGCCCAAGTGAGTAGGGGCAGGATTGTGGGAGGGTTGGAGGGGGAGCAGGTGGGCAGGCAGGCTGGGGGCAAGGTCCTAGCCCAGGATCCAGGGGGTCTCAGTGACGGCCTCTCAGGCCCTCACTCTGTGCCCCAAGTCCCAGAGATCTTGGGTAGACCGTGATGTGGGCCATCTACGGGCGGGCCAGGGTCCTCCCGAGTTCTGTTCTCCAGGGATGGGTGCAGCCAGACTCTGGGGGTCCCGTCAGAGAGGCCTTCCTGCAGGAGGAGGCCTCCCAGAGCTACTGGCCGAGGAAGGCAGGGGCGCGGCCAGCTGTGGAGAATGTGTTGGGGGCCAAGGGTGCTGAGGTGGGGGGCATCCCTTCCCTTGGTGAACCTCACTCTGTGCCGTGGGGGGCCTCTGAGGGGCCTCACAGCACAGACAGACATAAGAGGGTGCTGGAGACTGCAAGGATGGGGGTCTGCTCTCTGCAGCTCGAAAGGACACGTCTAGTTTGCGGCCCCATCCTGGGCCTGGGGACCCCTCTGAGCTGGGCAGTGCGGCCTTCTGGGCAGAGTCTTTCGCCCTCCCAGCCCCAGCCAGGAGAGATGCCCTCTCTGTCCTCCTGCCGGTGCCGGGCACAGGCTTCCCCTTGGTCCTGTGGAGGTGCACCGCACAGGGTGCACCGCACAGGGTGCCCAAAGCCAGCACCCACTCTCCCGCTCCCCTAGCGATGCAGCATCACAGCCATGGGGGCGCGGTGGGCGCCCCCTGCCCTGGCCCGCCCTTTTCCACCCATTTCCATATGAAACTGTACGTGTCACAAGACCCTGTCCGCACTCGAATGCGCAGCGTGTGCTCTCCCTATGCAAACAAAACACTTCATTAGAGGAAATTTGGAAAATACGTAAACGTCTAACGAAGAGGCCAGGGCGGCCGGGAAAAGAAAGAAACAGAGAACGGGGGAAGCCAAAGGACCCTGGCTCCCCCCACCCAGCCGCCCGCCCGCCGGCCGACGGTGGAACAGGGTGGAGAGAAATAAAAAGACTTTATTTCTTTCCACAAGTTTTCCATGCACAGGGCTCGGGGAAAGGGGGGCGGGGGGCGGGACGTTCAACCGCATGGCCGTTTCTCAGACATTGCCCGTCTATAGGCCCCTGGTTTCTGCTTCCCGACAAGTTAGCTCTGTTCCTAAGTATTTTTCCGTGTTTTCCCATCGTCTTCTTAAATATTTTGAATGGCCACCGCCTGGCCGTCCATCGGGCAGGCCACAATGGCTGCAAGCATTCCTCGAGTGTGGGACCCAGGCGGGCCCGTGTTTTACTGTCATAAATAACGCGGGTGGGGAGCCCGTCCCTCGGTCAGCTTGTTTCCCTAGGCTGCCGGCCCAGAACTGGAATTACTGGGTCAAAGAGCATGACGATTCTTAAGGCTTTGGACATCCGCTGCCAAATAGCTTTGCCCCGAAGAGGCTGCCAAGGCCTCCCTCCGACGTGGCGGGCTGGGGCTCCGTGTGCCGCCTCCCCTTTCCAAGGACAGCGCCCCGCTTTCAGCCCTCAGCCCCCGTGCCGGGGCGACGGCCGGCTGTTTTCGTTGGGCGCGCCTTTGACGGCGCGGGAGGGAAGAGCTCCCTGGCCGCCTGGCTCACTGGCCGTCTGTCTCCCAGAGAATCGCCGGCTTGTGCCCCGGCTCATTCATCTAACGGGTGGGCGTCCATGACGCCCGTTTGCACAGGGATAGGAAGTCTGGTCCAGATTCGTGGCAAATATTTTTCCAGTCTCTCCCCCACTGCGCCCCACAGCCCCCACTTCAATGTTGGCCTCTTCCCCCACCCCAGCACCCTATGAAACACACAGAACGGGTGCTTCCTCTGAGTGCGGCCAGCCCTTGGGGCTTCGTCCCCTTGCTGGGAATCTTGGGACTGAGTGGTGCCACAGGCAACCGGGTCCACTGTCCTCCATGGGCACTTGGTTCTGTGGTGGGATATCACCGCACTGCCTCCAGGGCCTCAGACCCCCCTCGATGCCCTCCTCTCTTTCCCCTGGGTCCTCAGAAAAGATGGCTCCAGGGGCCACCCACCCACACTCCCAGCCAATCACCCACCCACCCACTCATCTGCCCACCCCTGGAGGCCACATAGCTCCCTTGAGTCCTGTCCAAACGGGCTGCCTTCACTTGTCTGTGTGTGAGAGCAAGGAGTCAGGACCCTGCCTTGGGGCACGGGTTTGCACATCCGAGGGGTTAGGAAGTCGGCAGGGCAGAGCTGGCAGAGAGGTTGGCATGTTCTTGTGTTCTGGGTGGGAGCAGATGTGCCACCAGCATGGTGCCCTCAGCCAGCTGAGGGTGCCAGGGCCGGCCTGGGCTGGGGTCAGGGTGGGGATGGGCCAGGCTGGCCCCTCTGGAGTCTCAAGTGCTCCACTCCTGAGCCTCTCTCTCTCTCTCTCTCTCTCCCCTTCAGACTCACTGCTCCCAAGATCCCAGAAGGGGAGAAAGTAGACTTCGATGTAAGTTTGTGGAACTCGGGTCAGCACGGTCTACCCTCTGTCCCCAGCCCACAGCCACATCGTAGACCTGAGCACCCACAGCTGGGCTTCCTGGGCTGATCAAGTCCACCTTAGCTCTTTCCTGGGCTGGAGGAAACACCTCCCAGAATAGACCTTGTCTCTTCCTCTCTCCTCTGCCCATCCACTCACGCATCCAACCACCAATCCATCCATCCAACCAACTATCCATCTATCCATTCAACCACCCACCACCCATCCATCCACTCACTGACCCACCCATTCATACATTTACTCACCTACAATTTCATCTACCTACCCATTTACCTATTCATCCATCCACCCATCCACCTATCCATCCATCCAACCATCCATTCATATATCTGACCATCCACACTTTCACCAAATCACCTATTCATCCACCCATTCATCCATCCACTTAGCCACCTCTTCATATATCCACCCACCCACAATTCCCTCCACCCACTCATTCACCTATCATCCGCCCACCCACCCATCTGTACATCTACCCACCCACTTGCCCATCCACCCAACCAATCAACCATCTACCCATCCATCCATCCATCCATCCACCCATCCACCCACCTATCCATCCACCCATTCACCCACCTATCCATCCATCCATCAATCCCCTAAACCACCCACCCAGAATTCCATCTACCCACCCATTCACCTATCCATCCATCCAACTATTCACCCACAAACCCATCCATCCACACAGCTACGCACGCATCCAATCATCCATCCACATAGCCATTCATATCCACCCATCCACATTTCCTTCTGACCACTCATTCACCTATCCATCTATTCATCCACCCACCCACCCGTTCATACATACTTCAATCTACCCATTCATCATCTATCCAATCCCCCATACTCCCTTAGCCCCATTTGTTCACCCATCCACTCATCCACTCACTTACTCATTCACCCATCCATCACCCATTACCTGCTTATTTTTTGTCCAGCAAATGAGCTCGCTGGACAGACTCCCCTCTGCCATGTCCCTGCCAGGCATGGCTGAGAACAGAAAAAGGGCCACCGCAGAGCCAGGCCACCCCAAGGGGACTGATGACTTCCCAGCCCACTCTGTGGCTCGGGGATCGGACAGCCCTGGCCCCTAAAGGGCCGTGGCTGGGCGGACTTGGTGTGGGGCCCGGCTCTCCTGTGTGGAACCGGGGGAGTGGTGGCGGGGGCTGACGGGCACCTGGGCGCGCAGGACATCCAGAAGAAGCGTCAGAACAAGGACCTCATGGAGCTGCAGGCCCTCATCGACAACCACTTTGAGGCCCGGAAGAAGGAGGAGGAGGAGCTGATCGCTCTCAAGGAGAGAATCGTGAGTTGGCGCAGCTCAGGCCTCAGCCCTCCCTGTGGCCCTGTGTGTCTGGGCCCTGGGTGACTGGAGGTGATGGGGGCGTGGGGACTGGGGGCCACTCTTGGAGGGAGGAGAGGCCAACTGACCTGCCACCTGGGCCGCAGGAGAAGCGCAGAGCCGAGAGGGCAGACCAGCAGAGGATCCGCGCGGAGAAGGAGCGGGAACGGCAGAACAGACTGGCGGTGAGGCCCCGCCCCCTCCCAGACCCATGGGAACCACGCAGGGCGCCCTGACCCTCCCTTCCTCCCAGGTGGGCAGCGTCCCCCCGTGAGGCGCCCGTAGTGGTCTGCGTGGCTCTGTAGCCCTCCCCTCAAGGCGGCGGGCCCCAACCCCCAAGTCCCTGGAGCTTCCAGAGAACTCCAGGTCCGGGACAGCGCCCTGGCGTCTTGGCTGAGCATGGCGCAGCCCCGACGCCCGCCTGAGGGTCTTGGCGACGGGGGTCCGCAGGAGGAGAAAGCCAGGCGGGAGGAGGAGGACGCCAAGAGGCGAGCGGAGGACGACATGAAGAAGAAGAAGGCACTGTCCTCCATGGGCGCCACCTACAGCAGCTACCTGGCCAAGGTGCGTGGGGCTTCCACGGGCGGAGGCACGCCCCTGCTGGTGGCCGTGGCCCCGGCTCCCGAGAGCCTAGCACTGCCCCTCGCGTCCCGGTCCCGCAGGCCGACCAGAAGAGAGGCAAGAAGCAGACGGCGCGTGAGATGAAGAAGAAGATTCTGGCTGAGAGACGGAAGCCCCTCAACATTGACCACCTCGGTGATGACAAGCTGAGGTGATCCGGGTGCCGGCGGGGGTGCGGGAGGTCAGCAGGCTGGCTGATGGGGCACTGACAACCCTCCGGCCTACACAGAAGCTTCCAGAACATTCACCTCGGAACTCACCTCCCGGGGTTTCAGCAGGTGTCTTGAGTTCAGCTCCCTGGAGGGGCTGAACCTGGCCCTGCCTGTCCAGAGCTTAACCGGCCACCTGTCCCCTTGCCTGCCTCCCCAGGGACAAAGCCAAGGAGCTCTGGGACACCCTGTACCAGCTTGAGACGGACAAGTACGAGTTTGGGGAGAAGCTGAAGCGTCAGAAATATGACGTAAGTGCAGGCCTTCTGGCCCACAGGCCCCTGGTGTCCTGATGGCTTGGGCAGCACCTCTTCTCACTGCCCCCCCCCCATCCTGCTGGGGCTGCCCAGGCAGGACCCCTGGCCCCAGAGGCTGGAGTCGGGCCACACTATCAGGCAGGCCACTAGGACGCCCCGTGTCCTGTGTGCAAGCTAGGCTGACCCCAGGCTGACCGGGTGTGAGGGAGTAGCCACGGGGCCAGGGGCTACAGGGTCCCCCAGCTGGCAAGGAGTCCCCGTGCTACTGAGCTCAGCTCTGGGGGACACTAGCTCCTTGTGCTGAGCTGTCCCCCACTTGACACCCCTGCAAACCCAGGTCTCGGCCACCTCAGGCCCTGAGAAACCAGCTTTGGGGCACCTGTGTGGACAGCTGATGCCCAGGGTTTGAGTGCTGTGTCTCCTTACACCGCCACCCAAGCCCCGGGAGCAGACAGACGCCTGCGGTCTCACCACCGGCGTGGGGGTGCCCCTCTCTGGGGGTGCAGGCACGGCCCTGGGGTCAGGCTGGGTCTGGAAGGCAGCCTGTCGTGGTGGTCTGAGAAGTGGGGTGGAGGTACAGGGTTGTCGCCTGCTCTTAGAGTCCCGGGGGCCTAGTGAGGGGTCCCGGGGTCCTTGAGTGCTGAGTCAAAGGGATGGGCTGGGGAAGGGGATTTGCTGCTGTCACTCCCCTCGGCCCGGTAGATGGGTTCTGGGCACAGGCTTGGGGCTCCCTTTGCTTCTCTGTATCCTTGGGCAAGCTGCCTCAACTCAGACATTACTGGGTGGGCAGGACAGCCCCTTCTGGGATGCTGCATGCTCAGGGCCAGGCTCACCTCACTCTTTCATGGCCATACACACCCACCCGCCGCCCAGGGGCATCTCGGGGCTGGGGGAGCCTAGAGGTCTCCCACCGGGGCAGCAGAGATGAGGGTAGACCAGAGGGCTCAGCCCCCACCCAGCCCCATAACCGCCTGGTCTTTGCAGATCATGAATGTGCGGGCCAGAGTGGAGATGCTGGCCAGGTTGTAAGTAGCCAAGTAGCCAGCGCCCGGGTGCGCTCCCCAGCACGGGGTGCTCGTGCATGGCACGTTGGTCGTACAGGACGCCGAGGCCGCGGGCACCGACAGGGCGCAGCCTCTGCCGCTCCTCCTGGCCCCTCCCTTGTAGCCCCAAGGGGCACCCAGGAGAAACGGGCTTGGACAGGACAGAGAGGATGGAAAGGGGTGTGGCCCCATGCTGGGAACCCCAGCCAGGGCTCAGGGGGCTCAGGAAGCACCCAGGCAAGGATGGCATGCTCCAGCAGCCCCAGCAGCTCTCTGCAACTGCCCCCTTGCCTTGCCCCCGGCCCGCGTCCTGCCGCAGCTGCAGGTAAGTGGTCACTCAGAGCGGTCGTGCGCCCTGGTCCAGGGCCCAGCACAGGCCACCGTGAGTAACAGGGAGGCAGCAGCCGGGCACTGGATCACAGGAGGCCTTCAGGAGTGGCCAGAAAACAGTAAGGGCGCCCTCAGACCACGTGCTATGTGGGGCGTGGCTGCTGCAAAGCACGCAGGACGTCGCTTGCTTGAGCACACACGCGTGAGGGCGTCTGAGGGGGACGTCCCATAGTGAGAAGGGCCATGCTACTACCTGTGCAGTGACATCCAAGTGTTGAAGCCCATGCAGGGCAGTGCTGACGTCCGAATGGCACGCTCACGTGGTGAGTGGTGCTGACTTCCATGTAGCGCCACCCACGCAGAGACGCAGGGCGGTGCCGGTATCTGTGTGTCATCTGCATGGTGAGCAAGATGGTGCCGATGTCCACGTGTGGTCTGCGTGGTGCGCAGGGCGGTGCCGATGTCCACGTGTGGTCTGCGTGGTGCGCAGGGCGGTGCCGATGTCCGCGTGTGGTCTGCATGGCTTACAGAGCAGTGCCGTGTCCGCGTGTGGTCTGCGTGGCATGCAGAGTGGTGCCGGTGTCCACGTGTGGTCTGTGTGGCTTACAGAGTGGTGCCGATGTCCACGTGTGGTCTGCGTGGCTTACAGAGCAGTGCCATGTCCGCGTGTGGTCTGCGTGGCATGCAGAGTGGTGCCGGTGTCCGCGTGTGGTCTGCGTGGTGTGCAGAGCAGTGCCGGTGTCCGCGTGTGGTCTGCGTGGCGTGCAGGACGGTGCCGGTGTCCATGTGTCTTCTGCGTGGTGCGCAGGGTGGTGCCGATGTCTGCGTGTGGTCTGCGTGGCACACAGAGTGGTGCCAATGTCCACGTGTGGTCTGCGTGGCATGCAGAGTGGTGCCGGTGTCCGCGTGTGGTCTGCGTGGTGCGCAGGGCGGTGCCAATGTCCATGTGTCCTCTGTGCGGTGCTAGTTTGGATGTAGGCTACCCAAGTGGCACGTGGGATGCTGCCAGTGCCCACGTGGTGATGTCCAAAAGTGGCCCCACTGGCCACGCTGGCCTGCAGAGAAGGCTGCGCCGCCGACACAGTAGGTCGCCCTGTCATTTTCAGATCACCACGCTCAGGAGCCGCATCGACCAGGCACAGAAGCAGTGAGTAGCCTGTGCCGCGCATGCCCACTGAGGACAGTGGCGGCAGCGCCCCCGCAGGCCTAACTCTTACTAACAGCAGGTGCGCCGGCCCAGGCCCAGCGCAGTGGCCAGGAGGACCAGGGTCGCCCATGCCTCTCTCCGCAGGAGACACTCACCAGTGTTTCAGCGCAGACGGGGACAGAGTCCAGGGCGAGCCTCCAATTCCATGGGGGATGGGGTGGGGGGAGTGGAGGAAAGGTCAGGGGACAGCAAGGGTGGCAGCGGGCCCAAGACCCAACCACCCGAGGCCCATCTCGGAGGACCCCGGTGCTGCCCGAGCTCAGGGTCTCGTGCCCCAAAGGAGCACAGTGGATCCAGGGGACAAATTTGGGGCTGACATTTGGGGCATTTTCTGCCCTCTCCCCACTGCCCTGGGCTCCTCAGGGCTGCCAGGCACCTGGCCTCTGCCTGGGGGGTCAGAACTACTGGGCCGTGCGTGTGTGGAGGTGTAACAGGCTGTCTGGGCCGACTCACTGACTCCTGCAGAAAGGGCTGGCCACCAGTGCCGTCCTCGTCCAGCCTAGCCATGGTGCTGGTGAGCCCAGAGCCTGGGGGGTGGGGGGGCTGAGATTCCGTGTCCACCTCCCTCAGCCTCTACCCGACAACCCCAGCTTCCTCGTGGGCTGTGGTGTGAAAAGAGTCCAGCCAGGGAAGTTTCCACCAAACTTATCCCTTTGGTAGTCACAGGGCAAAGGCCTCCCAGGGACCCCGGTCCTGCGTGCAGCCCGGATGAGGGCACGTGCTGCCCCCGTGCCTCTGGGCACTCCTTGGTACTCCAGGGATGCCAGCCCTGCCCAAAAACCTTCAGGAAGACACAAAAGCTGCCCGTAAGGCCACAGGCTGTCCAAGCCCAAAGCCCTTGGGCCATGAAGGAGAGTCAGGGAGGGCGGCTCAGCCCTTCACACCAGCCCCTGCCCCCTAACCACACTGACACTTTGCACCACGCCACCACGCTCAGGTCCTGGTCCAGGCCCAGGTAAGTCAGCACAGCTGGGCGGGGGGCCATGGGTGCATGCACACCAGGAGGGCCAGGCTAGACCCTCAGCCCAAGCATGTGGCCAAGCTGCCAAGGCCGGGGGGTTCTGGAGGCCCCGGGGGTGGGGGCGTGGAGCTTGGCTTGGTTCCCACCACCCTGAAGCTCAAGGCCACCCTGTCTCCCATCTGCAGCAGCAAGAAGGCTGGTGCCACGGCCAAGGGCAAGGTCGGTGGGCGCTGGAAGTAAAGACACAGAGCCAGCGTGGATACACGAGTCAGGGGGGCCCTCCCCGAGTGAGGCTTCCTCTGGGGCTCTCGGGAAGTCCCCAACAGGGCCTTTGACTCCTCCTGAGTACCCCCTGCGCCTCTGTCCACGCCACCCCAACCCCTGGGGCCTGGGAATAAAGCGAGCAGACCCCCCTCCAACAAGAGCGTGCTTTTCTGGGTGGGAGGGGGCAGCTCTGGGACTCGGGAGTCAGCAGGAAAAGGGGAGTCCTTCTCGGAGCTGAATGCAGGGTGCACACGGTCACCAGGGGCTCTGTGCACCCAAAGCTTCCCCATCAGGCCAGCACCTGCATCTCCTCGCCAGTGCAACTTTGCCGGCTACATCCAGTGGGCCCTGAGAGAGCTTTGCTGAGGGGAGGGGAGTGCCCCCCCCCCAAGGGGCATGAGTCCCGAGAACTAGCCGCAGACTTTCCAGGCTCTCCCCCCAACCCAGGGACATGCAGGCAGAGGGGCCCCAGACTGGAGACCCTTCTCAGAGGCCCCTGGGTGGAGCTGAGGCTACAGGCACAGGAGGTGGGGGGAGTGGGGCGAGGGGGAACAAGCAGCCCCAGCCCGTCCGCTCCCCATCTGAGGGGGCAGTGTGAGGCTGCCCTCATAAATCTGAAACTCCTGACAAAATAGAATTCTGGAAAATATAAATCACAAAAATTGGATCAAGACGCGGAGCCCTGCACGGCAGGCACAGGAAATGTGGGGCCCAGGGCCTGGGCTGCGCACAGGCTGGCGGCCAGCAGGCGGGGGCCGGGGCCTCTTCCCGGAGGTGCTGCAGCCAGCCGGCCGGCAGGACCCTGCCCCCAAACCCCCACCGCACCCGCCTGTGCACCCAGACACCCCACACACAGACACAGCCCGCTCCCCACAGTCACAGCTATACACACATTATTGCACACCCCACCACTGTGTGAACACACAAGCACACACATACACGAACGACGTGTGCACAGCTCACTCCTCACCATTGTACTTCCCCGAGTCAGTGCACACACCAAGGCTCGTGCACACCTTCATGTGAGTGCACAAACACAGCACATATGCACGCATGTGCTCAGCCAAACACCCCCCACATGAGCATACATGTGCCCCCTAATTCCTCCCCATCCATAACCCCCATGCACGTGAACACCCCTTCAGTCCGCGAGCATACACACACGCAATCCATTACACACACACCGCCATACCCCATCACCTGTGTGTGCACACCCAGCACACCACACACACACACTCACAACAACACCTGTGCCCCACAAATATGAATCCCTATGTGACACATGTGCCCCAACGGACACGCAAATCCCATCCTGAATCATAATCCTCACGTGTGTGCACAGACCTGCCTAGGTCCTCACACACATGCTCTCCACAAACGTGTCTTCGCAGGTGTTCGTGTGTGTGCTTGCCCCAACACACACACAGCTCGCCCTCACGCTCTTACCCCTCACATGCGTGCACAGCACCAAAGACAACCTCATGCACACGTGTTTTCCACAGAAGGTGTTCTTCACAGGTGGGTGTGTGGACCCTGCAGACACACACACACACACACACACACACACACACACACGATCGCTTCCCACAATCTTAACCCCCACGCCTGTGTACAGGCCCCTGGCACAGACACACACACACACACACACACACACACACACACGGTCCACTCCCCCACAATCTTAGCCCCCAAACATGTGGGCACAGTCCGGCATGCGCCCCACACATGTTCCCACCAATGTATGTCCCCACATGGATGCACACTCCTACGTGTCCACAAACACGTATGACCTAACCATGCCCACCGACAAACACCGACACACATCCACGTCCACCCACTTGCTCACACACGCGTGCCTCGCTCACACACAGTCCCCCACACCACACGTGCCAACTGCCCATGTCCTCGTGAATTTGGAGCAGAATGTGGGAGAAGCCCCCCATGGGCTGCGAACAGAAGACCCGAGGAGGGCAGACCGGGCCTCGCAGGTTCCAGAGACCCAAGATGAGGTCCCAGAGCAGCAGGGTGACGACAACAGGACGCAGGGAGCAGGGGGGCGGGGGGGAGGAAGTCCCTGTGGGCAGGTGGGGACGCCCATTCTAAACATGAGGGAGCGCAGCAGTGAGCAACATAAAACGAGGCCGGACCCCACAGGCCAGCCCAGGGTCCCAGCGCCCACATGGGAGCTGAGGCTTCTGTCACAGGGACCCTCAGACAAAGGGCAGGAAGGCTGGGTGGGGTCTGGACCAAGCATGGAAGCCTGATTGGGGTGTCTCCAGACCACACTCCCCAAAGCAAGAGAATGCATGGGAGAGGGAGGGGATCCCTTGCAGATGTTGACCAGAGGCTAGGAAGGACAGCAAGTTTCTCAAAGTCCAAGTGGCCAGCACATCCTGGCCACTAAGTGCCAGCCCCTGTAGCCAGACCAGGCCTCGCCTGAAGGACCACTCTTACAGCACGTGTTTAGAAATGTTCAAACGCCAAGTACCTCTCGACCCTGACCAGAGCCATCAGGAAAACCAGAGAAGGACTTAGAACCAAGAGGCCTTGAAAGGGCCACACATCAGAAGCTGGGGTGCAGCCAGCACAGGGCAGAAAGGGGAGCCTCGGGCCTGAAGATTCCATTAGGAAAGAAAATAGTGGGTGGGTGGGGGTTGGGGGGGACACCAAACATTTCATCAAAACCCAGAAAAACCAAGACCAGGAGCAAAGGACAGGAACAGACGGGAAAGAGGAGAAGCCGACAGATAACACGGTGCGGACTGAAGCCAGCACCCCGAGAGGACGATCCACAGGGTGCAAAACCGAGTCGGTGAGGGGCTGCTGAGCCAGCCAGGGCGCTTCCCCAGAGAGCGGGGGGCACAGACGCAGATAAAGTCAGACTGGGAGAGGCTGCGGGCCGCTGCGGGAAGGCGGGCTACGTGTCAGCGGGCAGGACAGAGAGCACCATAAACAACGTTCGGCCCATAACTCTGGAGCTAGAGCAAACAGCCGGCTTCCTGCACGAAAACAACGGAACGTAGGGGGAATTGGCGGTTCGAGATAAGCGAGGATCAACCCAGCAGAAGACGCAGAAGGCGAACTGCTGGGGGAATTGTTCCCGCGTTCCTGGGGGATGAGGGGGCGGGGGTGTCACACGAGGGGGGAGCAGGGCTCCTGCAAGTGCAAGTGCTTGGAGGGCCCCCATTGCCTTTTCCCACGTTGTTTTCGAAGCCCCTTCCGCACGCGGACTGCGCCTGTGTGCCCAGAGAGGAAGGCTGAAAATCTGTAAAATGCCCATTGACGTCAGGGGAAGCTGAGAGAGGGAACGGGCCGGTGTTTTGAAAGGCATTGAACCAGGAGTTAAGAAATCTTCCCACGGAAAGCAAGACAAGCAGCCGGGAGGGCCAAGGGCACGGACCTCATGCTAACGTGCCCTTCTTATCTGCAAAGACGGTTCGAGGGCAGGGAACGGATGGGTGCTTTCCTTGTGTGCCAACCTGTCCTCTTAGACGGAGAGGCTGAAGCATGTGCGTTCCCTGAGCAGATGGCGGGACCCAGTGGCTACCACCATGGGCCACGCATCAGGGCCGTTGGGAGGGTGAATGGTGGGCAGGACGGGGCGGGCTTCGGTCGACCCAGGGGTCGCTGTGAGTCCGAACAGGCTCGATGGCACCTGAGAACAAGGGCGCAGTAAAACGCAGCACCCGTGGGCAAAACGTGTGGAGGAAGGGGCTCCCCAACCTTCACCCACCCCCAGGCACAAGAAGCAAAGGTCACCCCCCTCCGTGTCGCCTGGATGTCTCCAGCAGCCCCCACCCGACCGACCAGGGCCCTGGGACAGGAAAGCAGGGCGGGCGGGGATGGGAAGGCACAGGGAGGCAGGAACAGATGCCGCGGCTCGTAAACGTGTGATTGCCCGGCAGACCCCAGAGAGGCCCTCCTCGCGCGTCACTGGAGCTGATAAGATTTCAATGTGGTCGGATGCGAGCACAATATACGAGAACCGGCCACCGCCGCCTTTCAGGAACTGTAAAACCCGAGATCAGGGAAAACGTGCTGAAGAGCAGCCCCGGGCATGACCTCAACCTCGCGGCAAAGGCAGAGCTGCCCGCCGGGTTTCCCACGCTGGGAGTTGTTTATGGAACCGGGCGGGGAGGTGGGAGGGGGGGGCATTTGTCCGCCAGCCCATCTGTGGGCAGCCAGGTGCTTAACCTTGACCCCATCAGGGCTCCTACATCTGAGAATGTTGAGTCCAGCAGACACGTGCAATATGTCCCATGAAGGAGACAAGGAGCAAGGGTCTGGAAGGTGCTCACTCCACCCACCACACCAGCACGGGGTCGATTCTAACCCACAGCGAACCCGTGGTCCCCGGGGGAGGGGGGTCTGAGTGACTGGTGGGTTAGCACCGGCCATGCTGAAGCCACTCTGTCACCAAGCCTCCTTTCCAGGGATCTTAGCGATGCCATATCCACAGAGATGGTCTTCCCCCCCACCCTGGAAATGTCCCTTTTCCTTAGAGCCCTCAGTGAGGCCCAAGCCAGCTTCTCGCCGCCCTCGCAGCTCTCCGAGGAAGCTGACAAGCACCAGCCCACAGTCCGCATGGGCGAAAACGGGGGTTCGAGAGGATGGAAGATGAGGCTGAGGGCCCAGGTGCCAGCACAGCACCTCTGTGGGTGTGAGAGCAGTGCTGCACCCTGTTGTGGGTGTGAGAGCAGTGTTGCACCCTGTTGTGGGTGTGAGAGCAGTGTTGTACACTGTTGTGGGTGTGAGAGCAGTGTTGTACCCTGTTGTGGGTGTGAGAGCAGTGTTGCACCCTGTTGTGGGTGTGAGAGCAGTGTTG